AATTTGCTCACATCCCATTCAATATGGTAACCGTTATCAGTACATCTTTTTCTTCCGAATCCTAGGAATTCAGTAATCGTGATCGTTCATCATACATCGTATGGTCAGTTTTTATTAAGTATTATTTATATTTAATTTTAAATTTTAAAATAATTTTTAACCACATAATATATGATGAACAGTCACGATCAAGGAATACCTAGAATCTCTAAAAAAAAGATCTGGCAAGAATCCTTTTCCATCAATACCACCCTTCTCAAATCGCGATGTGCCCTCGCGATTTAATCATTTTTTTATTATATTCTATTACTCGTCTGATATTTTTTGGTCACTTGAACTCGCAACATTATTTGGTAGTCTCTCTTTTGTCGGGTTATTAGTTCCTTTATATAGGAAATTTTTAAGAGAAGGAATTCTTATTTTTTTATAAAAATAGAAATTAATTTTAGTGTTCACATCACATCGAACTTTAACAATCTGAAATGTCTATTTTTCAAGTTACACCTTATAGATTATCCTTACAAAATATTAGTCAAATCAGAAATGTTTAAGACATCTAATTTTGAGTTCAAAGAAATTAACGAATACTTTGTTACGTAAGAAACAATGAAATTTTATCTTGATAATTAAATAGGCAAATGGGTTTGGATTGAATTGAATTTTTGCATGGATGATCTATGAATTGAGACTAACAAAATAGACGGTTCGAATCGTCAAAGTTCAATATGAAGTGGGCCCCACACCTAATCTCTATTTTTTGAAAAAAAAAAAAAATAAGGATCCATTTGCATACATGGCCTATATAAATATATATATATATATATATATATATATATATATATCACTTGTTGTATTGCTCTTCATATACCAATAGTGAGTTGTAGGTATTGGATGGTGATATGCATCTCAGCAATATGAATTGTAGTATTGTGCCTTCTGTAATTGCTTTATCTATAATTTTTTTTTTTTTTTTTAAGAAAATAAATAAAATTCTCTCTTCTGAATTATGCTGCATGCCACCATCTTGATGGAAAATCACGAGAGTGAAATTAATTCATCTTTTGACAAACAAAAAAATTAATTCGTCTTGAAATGTTGTAGCGACACTGAAGAACATAGTAATTTTATACGTTTGGGTTTTGTTCAATGTATGTTTACAAGCTATACATGGGGAGGAAAAAAAACGGGAAACCACTTTTACAGATGAAGGCCCTGCGATTGCTGCTGCAATTAGTCAAGTATTAACTGATTCTCACCATCGGCTTTGCTTGTGGAATATATTTCAAAATGCTGCAAACAACTTGAAGCATGTGTTTTCGGAGTTTCAGAAGGTTGTAGATTTAAGGTTGGAACTAGAAAGTGACGATGGATTAACACGGAGATATATATATATATATATATATAGTTGAGAATTCAGGGGCTTGGACAGTGAGGTCACTTACATATAACCCTTCTACTCAGTTGGTAACTTGTACTTGCAGAAAATTTGAATTTCAGGGGGTTAGACTTGTCGAGTTTACCACCTAATTATTATTTGAAGAGAGGGAGCACTGATGCTCGACGACGAGATGTTGATTTTGATGCATATGGGGAAGCAAATTTGAGTAATCCAACCTCATCCTCCATGGTTCAATATAGCGAGTTATCTCACACAGCACAAAGAATAGTATCAAAAGGTGCAAATAACAACTCATCGCGTGCTACAGCCAAGTCTGAACTGTTAAAGCTCGAAATTCTTATGAGTTTGAACAAGAAAATGCTCCAGCAAGTGATGCTGCACTGCACGACAGGATCAAGTGGATGAAGATGTTGTGCATCTTAAATTTGCAAGGCCCAAAATAACAGAAGTCCAAGCACTCTCAAAAGGTTAGTACGTGGTTAATTTGTATGTATTAGGCTTGCATGTGTGTACGAAGCCTGTTAGAACATAATTCACGTGCAAGTGAGATATGGGGCTCATCAACAGGTTTACATGAGCATATCTAGGTTGTAATTTATGTGGAAATATCTCATAACAATCTTATCTCTGAGAAAAAGAAAAAGTATAATATCTTAACCTTTATTTTAACTGATACCAAGGTCTTTTGTGATAAAATCTCATACATGTCGAACTATGCAGGTAGTAATTAACAAGTTAGGAACAATATCGGTGTTGTTGAAAGTGAATCTTTGGCCCATCCTTCTGATACTTTGACATAGTATCAGAGTCAGAAAGTAGGTGATAGGAGCATATTTAGGCGACTTACTTAGCTTGTTTTCGTGCATCTATGTTGTTAATTCATAGTTGTTTTAGTAGTTTAAGCCATTTTCGTGTGTTTTTAGGTTCATATGGCTAAGGAAGCAAAAGATGCATTTTGGAGCATTTTGAAGCAAAATTGGGCTTGGAATGGATACATATAGCATATGATTGGAGCCAAAGTGTTGGACGAATTTGAAGGCCTTGTATTCATTTTGACATAAAACAAAAGGGCCTAGCCCATTCTCTCTTAAACCAACCCCAAGGCCATGCATTTCCTTCTAATTCCAAAGCCCACAATCACTTCAAAAGCCATGCAAAGAACAATCCATTCCATAAAAAACAATCCATCAATTCACATGCAAAACCACCATTAACACACATGCACCCAAACAAAGCCAACCTAGCTAACCCTACATGCATTCTTTATGCAACTCTTCATCATTCCACCATTCATTCTTTATTCCACAAACATCTCACATGCATTTCCACCTTCCTACTTCATCATTTCACCACATTCTCCCTCTTTAACTCACATGCATTCTTTATGCAACTCTTCATCATTCCACCATTCATTCTTTATTCCACAAACATCTCACATGCATTTCCACCTTCCTACTTCATCATTTCACCACATTCTCCCTCTTTAACTCATTTCATTATTCATTCACTTTGCATTCATTCAATTCCACCCCACATGCACCCTTTATTCTTCATCATTGCAACCATGGCACATTTACACCAACAAAACAACTCCCATGCCGTGGCCTACTTATATTCCCATTCCCTTTCCAACATCTCACATGCATTTCCACCTTCCTACTTCATCATTTCACCACATTCTCCCTCTTTAACTCACATGCATTCATCATAATACACAAACACATTAAACAAATAGCCATATACACCTCCACTCCTCCTATAAATACCCTTGCATTCCTTCATTCAAGGATCATCTCATTTCATACACAACACACCACAAACACTTCCATCTTCTCCCTAGCCGTGAGTTTCTCTCCATTTCCCTTCCATTTCTCCTCCATTTCTTCCATTTCCATAATCCCCCAATCCATTCAACACACCAACAACATCCCTTAGTCCTTGTGCCACAATAAAGAGGAAGATAAGAGGCCTAAACGTTCATACAATTCACGTTTGAGTTGTTGGAATGTTTACGCGTTTCTTTGATTTCAATGTTTAAATTCAATTCTCTTTGTTTTGTAATATGAGGAATGGAAGAGAAGAGTGCCTAAACGTTCATACAATTCAAGTTTGAGTTGTTGGAATGTTTAGGTGTTTCTTTGATTTCAAAGTTATGAGGAACTAAACCCTTTTTGGCTAGGGGTGATTTCAATACCATGATTATTTATGTAATATGAATTGATGAATTCCGGTTATGAACTCTTGATTCGTGAATGCAATTGGCTTAACTATTTGATGATTAACTTATTTGTGTTTGTTGATTGAGGGTCGACACTTAATTAGCATGCATGAATATGTGGCTAAAGTTTAAGAAGGTTTCACATAATCGTTACTAACTTATACTTGAAAGTAGTGAAGGTCGCTTGTCACGATCGCGTTAAGTTTAATTCTTAGCATGAGTAACATGATGTCATAGTTGCAAATGCTTTGTCAATGCTTATGGTTTTCATTATTCTTAATGATCTTCGATTGTATCTCTATTATGATGACATGTAGGGAACTTTTGAGAATATTTTGGGTTGTCGAATGATGCCATCCAATCCAATAATATAAGGAAAATCTGAGGGTTAACTAGTGATGTCACGGTTAATTTGGGGCATTGTCGTTCATAATTCAATGAAGGAATAACTGGAAATTGATTCATATGCATAAATATCATGTGTGGAGAAAGAACCTCTAGCTAATTCACCAACCATCTTATTTCATCAATTACTTTCTGTCTAGTTATTAACTTGTTTCGTTATTTCAATTTTCGTCAAACCTCAATCCCCATTTTGCTTTAATGTTCAATATAGTTAGAAATTAATTTAGTTTGTGTTTTTAAAGCATTTTGATTCTTTTGGTTTGTCTTAGTGTTTTAACGTTTAGTTTCACATTCTTTGAGTCTAGTTTAGTGTTTTATATTGTTTTTACGTTTTTAAGTCAATTTAGAAGGTTTTAGCAAGCCCTCCTAATCCCCGGTCTAGAACGATCCCTCACTTATCCATTCTACTACAATTGTCAAACGAGAGTTTAATTTGAGTGTCAAGTAATTCTCGCATCAGTAGGCACGTACTCCCACATGATGTGTGGGTTCCCTTGGCACTGCATGTAAGATGAGTTCCATTGGCTCTACGTGGTTGCCGATGTATGGATCTCCCACGAATAACCCACTAATTTGATTCCACGTGAGGGGACATGTGAAAATATCTCACATCGACCATATCTCTAAGAAAAGAAGAGTTTAAATATCATAATCTCCCTCCAACTAATATCGAGGTCTTTTATGATAAAACCTCACACTTGTCAAACTGTGCAGGTGGTAATTAATAACTTAAGGATAATATCGGTGTTATTAAAAATGGACCTTTGATCCGTCTCTCTAATAATTTGACATTTTCATAACTATTTACATTAGCATTCAAGATTTTTATATGGTTTCTTCTCAATCTAGGCTGATCTAATCCGAACTTGATCCATATTACACCTAGAAAATATGGACTACAATTTAGAGTAATATTTTTACAAGCCTTCAAAACCCAAGAAATTTGTGATTTTGACATGTGTATAACTTAGTGTCCTATAAGCTCAAAAAGAAACTATCCATTCATATTAACATTGGGGATATATAATGATATTTTTACACTTAAAAATAAGTTAATAAATTGATATCGAATATATATCCATGATATTCAAATCGAAGACTATTCATAGGTACCACCACATCATGTTAATTCATTCAATCAATTTCTTGTTGGTTTGACATCTTGCAAGTTCTTCGAGCTAGAAGGGATGTTATGTGACAAATAATGCATCCAACACTGTACAATCTCGTCTAGTTGCACCCAAGATTACCTTATGATCCTTTGCAAGATTTTGGGGTTGAATTGTTCATTGTACCACGAGTTATAAAGTATCTTAATCAAACAACAGAGAACATCGCGGCCAACGTTGGCGTTTATGAATGTAAGACATAATACCAATAATCTAGATGGTGTCCAAAATGAAGAGGATCATCAAACAATGGAGCATGAAAACAACAACGTTTGTATGGCAAGGACTCAAGTTGAGGAAGATCATTAAACAACGGTGAATGATAACAACAACGTTGATGTGACCTTAATTGTTGGCTCGAGTCGCTGCCGTACCAATGTTGCTGTTATTATACTCCGTTGTTTGATAATCCTCGTCATCTTAGACATCATCTAGATTATTTTTACTAAATCTTACATCTATAAAGCCAAGGTTGACCGCGGTGTTCTATGTTGTTTGGTTACGATATTTTATAACTCGCAGTACAACGAACAATTCAACCCCAAAATTCTGCAAAGGATGATAAGGTAATTTTGGACGCAAACCGACGAGATTGTGCATTGTTAAATGTATTATTTGTCACACAACACCCCTTCTAGCTTGACGAACTTGCGCAAATGTTAAACCAGCAAGAAATTAATTGAATGAATTAACATGATATGGTGGTATATATTCTGAAGATGTGCATGAATCACTCACGTAGGATTTGACCCGATCACCTTTAAACAAAAGAATATTAATCCATGTATCTCCAACATAATTGTACATCATGCTGCTGTGGTTGGGCCAAAACCTGCGAAAATATTTTATAATGTTAATTAACTAAAAGAAATAAGAAAGAATAAATTTTTGAATTCAATATTTAGCACTTTGGTTTTAAAAAAATAAAATAATGACCTATAAATTGAATAAATATATTATTTATGACGACACCAGAACTCTTTAATCAAAGTTTGAAAAAGACATCGATGTCAATTTATTCCTCGCATCCTTGTTTATGAACATATCTTATTTCCAAAAAAAAAAAAAAAAAAAATCCTTTGAGAAAGCCCAAAAATTAATATGTAATATGAAAAAGCTACTAGACAGATACAAGGCGAAGGATAGCTTACCCGACATGGATACGGAGCAGGATTAGTTGAGACAAGCGTTTCGCGAGAAGTTGGTTCATGAAGAACAATTGCAACAACAAGAACCAGCTTCTCGCGAACCACATGCCCGTCATTTATACTACTTTCGGTCGGATTAACTTCAGCAACAACAATTGCGACCATGTTCTTCTTGGAAACATCTTTTCAAATGATAATATGAACCAGTAACGATCCCCAATACAAACTATTTTCCCTATCAAAAGCTCTCACTATCTGTTTCTCTGCGTTGTGTGGTCGTGTGAAGGGCAAGACTTGCGTTTTAAAAGAGGAAGGAAGGTCTTAGCTGGAATTGTCAGTTTTCAGGAACGCAAGAACTAGTGTGCGTTAAAGGGTGTCACTGACTGATACACGACAACTACACCAACTAACAATTTACTCAGATAAGTAACGTCAACTGATGTATATCACTATATCTTGGCTACATTCATTGAACCTAGTTTTTTGAGCTAGCAAAGCAGCAGTTACAACGTATAGTATGTATTCAATGTTCTCGTTTCTTCTTTTTTTGGTTTTTTTGTTATTTTGGGTTTTGTTCATCAATACAAGTATATGCCCCCGCACACATACAAAGTGCATGAAATTTTTTACTTTTGTTTTTAAAATTTGAAGGAGAACGGAAGAGGGTGAGAGAGAACGTGGGAGTGGGAAGAGAGGGAGAGAGGATTTTTTTTCTTAATTAGAGATGATAAAATCATATTTAGATGAGGCTTAAACAAAAAACAGCAAAACTTTGTAATTTATTACGTTACTGTCCTTAAGTTTTTTGTTATGATAGAAGAGAAAAAAAAAAAGAGTTTGAATTCAGTTTTTTAAAGTAGTTTTACAAAACTAGTTTTCAAAATCTTAAACTTAAAAAGTGTTTGAATTAAAAAAGTTGGATTCAAATAAAGCACCAAACAAACCCTAAAATTTTAACACTCTTCTAAATTTAAATTCTCCATTCTTCATGCCCTTTAGTGTAGATAATATCATTTATTAAAAAAAAAAAAACCAATTATACTCTCTACTACGTTATATTAATTTTTGACCAAAAAGGCAAAAAAAAAAAAAGATTTTTGGGCCTGCAGAAACTGAATTGCCACTCTTTTGATCAACTGGGTAAGGCCCAATTCTGTCTCTAGCTATGCTTTGGGCTAGGCTCTTTGTTAAACCCGTAACGTAGGCTTCCATTCCTAACCCAAAAATTGTCCCACTCAACAAGGGAAAACTTGAAATTTCAATAACCTACTTGACTCTCAAAATAATTTGGCAATGCTTGGCAATAAGGAGTAGCCAACTTAATTTATAGCTAATGTAAAGTCCCTCCTCTTATCAATATGAGAATTATTGTCAACAAACCTTTTCATATGTGACGAATTTTCAAGCTTAACATGTGGATAACTCAACGGGATGACGTGGAGCTCATATGGTCATTTGGCTTCACATGCGGAACAACATGCTTTTGTACCATAAAGAAAGTTGTGGTTTCATCATAAAACTGATTGGCAATATGAGAGTAGAACTTACTCATAAGCCCAAAAAGATCGCTCCTCTCATCAACGTAGGATTCATTCTCAACACTGAGTACTTAATTTTTGTTAGAGAAGTTCTAAGGTGACTTTATTAAAAGTGAAATTCTTCATAAATTCTATGTCTTCTCATGTTTTTTACATAGTATTTTATAATATTGACATAAGAATTGACGTTAAACTGTAAAGTATCAGAGAATCTATAAAAAGTCTTGGGAAAATTTCCTTTGCATTTTTCTTTTTCTGCCGACAACAGACCATCAACTATCTAGCTTCCTTGAAAACGAATATTGACCCCTCTTCCAAGAAAAGCAAACCTACCAACGAATTGACAAAAACAAACCAAATTGTCATAAAAATAATGTAAAAAATTCTGACACAAACTACTTCAAACTTAATAAATAAATAAAAAGTTTACAAAGCAAACAATATTATAAGGGTAATGATAGAAATATTAAATTTATAAACTAAATTATATGTCATCAATAAGAATAAACACGTTTATCAATATGTAAGTAATAAATCAATCATCAACTTTTATGTCTTTTAGTTTTTAAAACTTTGTCTACAAATTTAATCACCCTAACATTACTCATATTATAATCAAAGTGCTAAGCGTAATTATCGATCAAACCCTAACTTTAACCTAACCACCCCTCCCTTGCAGTATATGTGTGTGTGTGTGTATTGATTCCTTCAAAGCTTGATTGGATTGGAAGACTCAGTTACTTGTATCTTTGTAAAACGACGTAAATAAAGCACAAAAGCTAAAACAACCGCTAGCTAACTGTTAACTTATATATTACTTTTTAATTAATTAAGGGATAAAATAATTAAACAAAGTATATAGTCTAATGAACTTGCACCATCGTGCCCCAGGAGCCAACCAGAAACCGACACACGTTTCTCTGAGAATATAAAACTGTATATTATGGAGGAGGGAGGTGCATATGAATGTGTGCATCAATGATTGAAGGTCACGTTAGATCAAAGAGAAGGCTCTGCATTGCATGAATTTATATTTGCCGACACGCTGCAGAGGCATCTTTCTTCTTTTTTTTTTTCGTATCAAGCTTTGAAAATTTAGACACAACACACAGTTTAGCGTTTACACCCACAGAGAGAGAGAGAGAGAGAGAGAGAGAGAGAGAGGATGGTCGACTGGTGGAATGGTGGGCGACAGGGATGTAGCTTCAAGGTCCGATACAGCAGATATATATCATATTCGGTGGGCGGCATATATTGAAGGGCAAAGCCAGTATAATGTCATTAGTTATCTTTGACTCCAACAAAACTTTTATATATTTGTTTGTGTATTGTATGTGACTCTATAAACAGGGCAAATTAAATTACAACGTTTTCCTTCTACTTCTATTTATTCTATTATATTTGTATTTCCTTTTCTTACTTCTTATGTGCGACTCTATTATGCGCATCATGTGTTCGATGAAATACTTTAGTTGAAAAGTTTTGATCGCCTTCAACATTATTCTAACATATCCTACATATTATAAGTCTATTTGAGGACTTATAGTTATAGAGGGATCTTAGTCTCTCTTTTAGTTTTTCCAAATCACTAAATAAATAATTTATCGGCAATGGAACTCGAACTTAAACCTTAATTTAAGAAAGAAAACGATATTATCAGTTCAATCAACCGTGGTTGGCTATTAAATCCTGACTTTATTAATTCATTTACGTATGTATACTAGCATGCATGCTTTTTTTACCACGACAAGTTGAACAAACAGCAGGGCTTTTTTTTTTTTTTTTTGGACAAAAGAATAATAAGAGTATCGTTTTGGGATTTGGTGCAAAGATCCGTCGGTTGACTAATTTTAGCATCTTTAATTGTACATATGGTTATGTGTGGTTTAATCAAACTTTATTTCTTTTAATGATTTGTGAACTGAGTGAAACTTTTAAATATGAAGCAACTTGTCGATCAAAAAGAAAAGAAAAATATGAAGCAACTTGAGTTTTTAAAAACACCCTTATCAATGATTAACTATTATTCAATATTAAAAATTTGCGCGGATTACACAGATTTTCTTTTCATAGTTTTTACTTTTGAAACATTAGTTGCGATCCATATATAAATTCATAAAATGAGGATCTAAACCGTTTAATTATGTTGCATCATGTATGGTACGATATGTCTTAGTTTGTTTGGTTTTTTTAGTCATGTCCCTTAGATATGATAGTGTAATGTTTAATCTTAATGTTTCACAACAAAGTTACATCGTAATAATTGGTAAGTCATAATTAGATAACGAACTCATTACAAATTATATCGTCTTCTCGCATTGATATGAGTTATATTTGGCATCTCCTCGGGCACAATAGAGACAACTACATTTGAGCAAAGACAGCTAAAAAAATAAAAGTAAATACTAAATGAGTTTTTAATTTTCAATAAAATAAAAACTAAAAAATGAAAACGAAAGGATTACCCATAAGTTACTTTGTAGGGAAGACTTTAAATTTATATCTTGTGAACAATAACTTATAATGTTTTTTTTCAAACTAAAGTTTATTATATTTTAATAAATTTTGAACTATATAATACCTTAATTTTTCGAGTAGTGTTCTGTAAATTCCCTTACAATCTTTCAAAAAATGGCAAAAATGCTTTGTTTGTCATTCAGTTTTTTTTTTTTTTTCCATAAATTTTTTTATCGCAAATGTTACAATATTTCATTTTCAAAATCAAACAATATTGTCCCTAACATTCATATGCACATATCAATTTGATCCTTCTGTTTATGTTTCATCAATTATTTTATTAGATGTGGTACATATGTGGTGTCACATCCCAGCCTGAGGGGGACCACTTCCCGGGCCCGCTCCACCACAGTAGAACGATATTGTCTGCTTTGGGCTCCGACCACGCCCTCACGGTTTTATTTCTGAGAACTCACACGAGAACTTCATAGTGGGTCACCCATCATGGGAGTGCTCTCGCGCGCTACTTGCTTAACTTCGGAGTTCCCATGGAGCCCGAAGCCAGTGAACTCCCAAAAGGCCTCGTGCTAGGTAAAGATGGGAATATACATATAAGGATCACTCCCCTAGGCGATGTGGGATGTCACAATCTACCCCCCTTAAGGGCCCGACGTCCTCGTCGGCACACCACGACCATGGTTAGGCTCTGATACCAAATTGTCACATCCTGACCCGAGGCGGGTCACTTCTCGGGCCCGCTCCACCACCATAGCAAAATATTGTCTGATTTGGGCCCTGACCACGCCCTTACGGTTTTGTTTCTGGAAACTCACACGAGAACTTCCTAGTGGGTCACCCATCATGGGAGTATTCTCGCACGCTACTCGTGTAACTTCAGAGTTCCCATGGAACCTGAAGCTAGTGAGCTCTCAAAAGGCCTCGTGCTAGGTAGAGATGGGAATATACATATAATGATCACTCCCTTGGGTGATGTGGGATGTCACATGTGTGGCTCACAAATCCAATATAGTAGTGCCACATAAATTATACACATCGGACAAATTACAAAATAATATACAACTTATATATGGGAATCCCACCTTTACTGTCACCGTTGCCTCTTGTGATAAAACGAACATCTAGCAATAAGTGATAAATTGGGGCAATATCTATAATGCTAGTGGTGGGCTATTCAGGCCTAAAAGGTTTATAGGTGAAGAGATACAACAATGATGGATATGGATATATAATGGGCTAATAATAATTTAATATTAAGCTCACTTTTCATATAGGTCGAACTTAAGATTTCTCACATCGTCGTGTGCAAGTGGTCATCATCCTCTTAATAAAAAAAAATGGAAAAGAAATCTGATCTTTTGTACAGTACTTCGATCTGTTAGTTTGTTGGGCCGTATAAGCAGTTGGTGGGCTGTATCTTGTCTGGCCCACTCCATCCAGCACCCTCGATTTTAACTCAAGTTCGATGGAAAGAATACTGAACAGAAGGAAAAGTGGGTGGGGG